TCTCTCTCTGTAACTCTGACTTTCCAGTAAAATAAGTAAATCTTTAAAAAAAAAAAAAAAGAAAGAAAGAAAATATAAACTAACAGGGAAGTTATACAAGAGGATATCAAGAAATTCATGGAAAAATGAATTAAAAGATAAGCTTCTTCTGGTTCAAATCCTTTTTCAAATCCTCACTTGCTTTTTTTATAGTATTGTTCCCCACCTCTTTTAAGAGCCCTCCAAATCCCAGAGTGGTGGTTGGCATTCCAGCCGGGGGTTAGCTGGAGCGGGGGGGTCAGGAAAAAGCACCTGGCTCCTGGCTCCTGCCATCGGATCAGCGCGGTGTGCCGGCTGCAGCGCGCTGGCCGCAGCGGCCATTGGAGGGTGAACCAACGGCAAAAAGGAAGACCTTTCTCTCTGTCTCTCTCTCTCACTGTCCACTCTGCCTGTCAAAAAAAAAAAAAAAAAAAAAAAAGAAAAGAAAAGAAATATTGCTGATTTTCCTGCATTGACTTTGTATCCTGTAGCTTTGCTGAATTCATTTGTTGGTTTGACACAGGGTGTGTGTGTGTGTGCACGCGTGTGTGTGTCTAAGGCAGTTAACTGGTTTTTTTAAACACATTTTATCCTCTTTAATATTATACAATAAAATAAAAATTCTCACTGTTTCAAATATATGTAAATTGGAAGAAAATATTCTAATAAAATGAAAGTGGCCCCTTGGCCCCTCTCCCTTCCACTCTCAGTTAATCCCCTTCCTCTCCCAAAGGAAACTGCCATTCAGATTTTGGAATTTGCTCTTCTAGGTTTATTTTATTGTGTTTATATTAAGTATATTTTCTAAGTCTGTATTTCTTTTATAATCTTTTGTAAGAAAAAAAATCCAAAAAATTAACATTTCTGAGGAATTTCACCAGAAATGTGTGCCATTAATGATCATTATGTATGTTTCCCCTTTTAAAAACTACTGATATTTTATTTCCATTCTTTATTTAGTGGAAAGATATTCCATAGCAGAGAACCTGGGTTTGAGTCCTGGCTCAGCTTCTGAATACAGTTTCCTGACAGTGCACATTCTGGGAGGTAGCAGGTGAAGGCTGAAGCACCGGGGTCCTGCCCCTCACATGGGTGACCCAGATTGAACTCCTGGCTCCTGGATTCAGCCTGGCTCAGCCATAGCTGTTGTAGGCATCTGGGGAGTGAACTAGTAGATGGAAGAAGATCTACTTATGTGTGTGTGTATTTCTTTGGATAAAGAAATTAATCATTTTTATATTAGTTGAGCAACTAAGTCAGTTATTATATAAGCAAAAAGGCCATTCTGAAAACTGATTATTGTTGATAGCTCTTGTCTCTACTGTTGAGGAACAGTGTTTTGTTTGTTTTTTTTTTTTTCTTCTTACTATTTGTTAAATTCTTTACTAAGTGCAGGGTTAATCTTATGAATACAAAATAAACTGAAAGCATGTTATTTTAAAAATTAACAAAAAGAAAATAGCACCAAAAATGTTAACAATCCTTTTTTGGGAAAAATCCAGTGCAGTTACTCAGATAAAAGCTGAGCCTTCCTAACAGAATCTCCAGCCTCCTCATTATATTTAAGAATGTCCAGTATTTTTTCATCAAAATTGTTCTTAAGCAAAACTGCTTCCAATGTATTACTCTTTGAGTCCTTTGTTTTATTTGAGGTAATACAAGCACAGTCATTATAGTATAGTCTGTTAAGTACTGTGTTGTTCACAGACAAGAAACATCTTTTTTTAATAACATGTCTCTAGCTAAATCATTTTTTTAAACCAACACATGTTAACTTAAACATTAAGTAGAAAATAATATCTTTTTAAGTGTGCATTTTGATATGTAAAATGTTTATTCTGAAATAAAAAATTGTCAATACATGCTTAAGCTATATATTACTGTAAGTTGCATTTTTAAATTAAAATTTAAAATTTACATTAAAATGCATTTTGATTTCTTAACTTTTTTTTAAGATTTTTATTTACTTATTTGAGAGGTAGAGTTATAGACAGTGAGAAGGAGAGACAGAAAGTCCTCCTTCCATTGGTTCACTCCCCAAATGGCCGCAGGCTGGAGCAGCACCAATCCGAAGCCAGGAGCCAGGAGCTTCCTCTGGGTATCCCATGTGGGTTAAGGGGCCCAAGGACGTGGGCCATCTACTGCTATCCCTAGGCCATAGCAGAGAGCTAGATTGGAAGAGGAGCAGCCGGGACTAAAACCAGTGCCCATATGGGATGCTGGTGCCGCAGGCAGAGGGTTAACCTACTGCTTCATAGCGCCAGCCCCAGATTTCTTAACTTTTTAAAGGACTTGATTAGAAAGTTAATTTCTTTCTGATTCCAAGAATTATTTTCTTGTAAAATCTGATTTTGTAAGTAGGTGCACATAAACAAAATATTTTCTTTAAAAAACAAACAAGTAATGCTTATTTTACTAAGCTAGGATAACAGATTAATATGCTATTCTGGTTATAATAATAATATAAAATATTTATACAAGGTCATTTCTGTTTCCTGAAATCATAACATTTGAATTAAACAACCACAGTGAAATCATTCAAAAATACCCAATATTGTGAAACTTTGAAATGTTCTCTTATGAATAATCCTAAAACACAGAGCCAGAAAAGACTTTGGAAGTCATTTACTCTATTACCATAAGTTAGAGTTTTTATAACACTTTCAGTGTTTGAAACCAAATAGCAATGAGTAGTAGATATGAAATATCCTCTTGTTTCTTTACCTATTGGAAGCAAACCTGCAAGAAATTGCATCTATTACCCAGACTTATTTTTCTTCTTGCTATTTTTTTTTTCTCATTTGAAAGGCAAAGAAACATAGCAACAGACAGGTCTCCCAAATTCTGCTTTACTCCTCCAATGCCCACAACAGAGCCAGGGCTGGGCCAGTCTGAATCCAAGAGTTAGGAACTCCATCTGGACCTCCTACATGACTGGCAGGAACCCCAACCACTTGAGCCATTACCTCACTTCCAGCCTCCCAGGGTGCACATTACCAGGAAGCTGGAATCAACAGCACAGCAGGGACTCAAATCCAGGCACTCTACCATGGGATGTGGGCAACCCAAGCGGCATCTTCACCACTACACCGAATGCATACTTCCAGACTTATTTTCTGAGACTGTTGTTTAGAAGAAAGATACATTTGCTAAACTTCCTTACTAACAGGTGCCATCCTCTAAACTGGAACAACAGAAATAGAGTCCTGTTTTGATATCAGAGTTTAGGATTTAATGTATGAGTATTATATGCAACTACTTAAGAGGTATACTTGCAAATCAAAAAACCAGAAAGTTTCCTTTGTTTTAAGCAAGAACAAATGGAGATAAAATAGAAATCTCAGTGGACTCAAAAAAATGTGCAACCAACAAGAGGCACAAGCAAGGTACTGTTATGAATAATAATACCCAAGGCTAAGTTCACAAACAGTGTCATTTCCCAGCCCTACCCAATAAATGCCATAATAAAAGGGAATGGAAGAACTGGCTTAGCACAGTGAGTACTGGTCCTGACCGTAGCACCTGTGGTTCAATGCTTCGCTGGCTTACACCACAGTAATTTCAGGCACCAGCCGTGCCACTCTGCCGTAGAGGGGATCAGGAAAGCAAACAGCACATTATGAGAGAACAAACCAACAGAAGTACACAAAAACGGCATCTAGGCAATTCAGTTACTACTCGTCTACCTTGCTTGGAAAATACATTTACATAAGGTTTTGCCAGTGCAATCTGGTTAAAAAAATGTTTCTCATTTCAACTGTATACTGCATAGATCATTTATCTGGAGACAATATTTACTAAAGCATTATGAAAAGTTCTATGCACTGGAAAGATGAGCACGTTGGATGCCTAAGAACATTAAATGTTGCCACTGATATCCAGAAAGCAACCAAACATTTTATTTCTTTGTATTTTTTCTCTTTTCCTCCAATATTTCCTTGGAGACTCCTCTATTCTGGAATGACCCCATTGCTTTGGCTTCCCATAGCAAGTTAGGGAAAGATGATAATAACAAACAAACCCAGGAGTAGGCTTTAAAAGTCTGACTTGCTTTCTCCTTTTGTTTTCCTGGGTAATTTAATCAGGCTTTTCCTTTCCCACTAACTCAGCAAGTCTGACCAAAAGTCACCACTGGTTAAATGCATGTTTCTAATTTCATATATTTTGAGAACTGATTTCTCAAGATAGCTTCACATTTAGCTTAAAAGTTCAGCACTAGTTAAAATTTAATACTTGGGTTTCTCTTAGTAGTAGTGCATATGGAAACACAAGTTTTCTGGATTCTGCTTTTGCTGCATTCTTGTTGGGAAGGTCACCAAACACTGACCACTAATTGAGTCAGCTGTTTGGGGGTGAGTACTGGTGGGCACCCCACCTTGGGTAGTTCCTAGGGTTTAACTTTATCTTCAGTGAGAAGCAGATTTGAACACAGCTGAATAAGCCAAAGATTCCATGTACCTGTGAACAAAATCATTTGGGAGACACAAAGTTGCTACTCTAGTCCCCGTTTCTTTCTCACCAGGCAAGGGTGGTGGTTGGGTACCTGTGAACTCTTCCTTGGTCAAAGCTCATTCAGAAAAGCATAATATCCCTATTCCAGCTCTGGCCCATTCAACCCTATGTGTATTCTGGAAAGTGTGTGGTGTGTGGCCTGATTCCAATCATCCTACTCTAAGAAATGTTTTGCTAGCTGTGTGGACTTTGTCACCTACACTCTGAAACTGGAACTGGCCTCTATTCCTTGAAAAAATTAAGTGTGTCTATTTGAGTCAAATTCTCCTCACTAATGTATTTATGGGAATTTCACAGGCATTTGGCATTTATTAGTAATGACCAGGGTCTTTGGGTATTTTTGCTCAGCGTTTTAAAGAATTAATGAGAAATGCTAATCTTGGTGCCAGTCTGTGCACTTCATTATGTTTTAATGGCACTTTTTATTGCCCAGAAATTTCACATAATCCTTTCCTTTTTCCCTTTCTAAGGTTTGAACAGGCTTTTATTACCAGTTTGATCAGCAGTGTGGTGAACATGAAAGACAGTTATTTTTGGATAGCCCTTCAGGATCAAAATGACACAGGAGAATACACGTGGAAGACAGCGGGGCAGAAGTCTGAGCCGGTGCAGTACACACACTGGAATGCACATCAACCCCGTGAGTAGGGTGGACCATGAGGCTGCCCCCGTGCACCTTGTACTTCCATTTCTCTGTACCCCAAATTTCTTCTAGCCCTTGTCCCACCTCTTTTGACTCTTCCTTAATGTTTTCTTTATGCCTAAATTAACTAAAATGATCATCATGGGGTCTTAGAGAGTTAACTTATGGCTACTCATTTTAAAATTTTTCTTGATTAGCATGTAATACTTGCACATTTCTTGGGATACAGTGTGATATTTCAACACATGTATGCACTGTAAACTAATAAAACCAGGCAACATGCATTCCCATGTCCTCATCTTTTGTTTGTGTTTGGAACCTGCCAGCTCCTCTCTTCCAGTTCTTTATGGAGGATATAATACACTATCGTGAATTTTAGTGACCCTCTGTGCTGGGAGCACTAGGAGTTGTTACCTGTATCTAACTGTATTTGCAGGTATGTAGGAGGGAGCACTGTGGCCTAAATGTGGAAATACCACTAAAGCATTATCAGTTTACATCCTCATCTAGCAAAATCTGAGAGGGCCAGTTTTCCCATGTTTTGGTCAATACTGAATATGACAATCTTTTGCCTTTTTACCACATAAGACATGTTTTATTATTATTTTAATTCATAGGTATGTTTAGTAACTTGAGAAATTTTTCATATTTTCACTTTACATTTGTTTGTGGTTTTGTTTTGCTTTTCATCTCAGTCACCTGTTTGCAAAATTTTCTCACTTTCTGTGTTTATTTTGGACACCTTCAATTTTCTCAGTGATTTGTGGAAATTTTATTACCTTCTGAAAATAAAGTCATAGGCTGAGTAACTCATAAACAGTGGAAATGATTTCTCCCAGCTCTGGGGGCTGGACATCCCAGGATGAAGGCTCTGTCAGACTGGGTGTCCGGTGCGTGCCGCCCTGCTGCATCTTCCCAGAGCAGAGTGAAAGGGCAAAACGGGAGCAGTGCTCTCCTCCAGCCTCCTCTCTAAGAGCACAAATCACACGCACCCACGACTTAGTAACTTCTCAAAACACCCCACCTCCTAATAGGATCGCATTTGGTATTAGGTTACAACATAGGAGTTTTGGAGGACTATATACAACCAAGTCATAGCAATAGATAAGTGATATCAGAAGTACAAAACCAGTTTTTTTTAAAGCCATTTCTTTTATTTGAAAGGCAGAGTTACAGAGAGGGAAGGAGGAAGGAATTGGGGGGAGAGGGAGAAATATGAATCTTCCATCTGTTGGTTCATTCCCCAAATTGCCACAACAGCCAGGGCTGGGTCAGACCAAAGCCAGGAGCCAGGAGCTTAATCCAGGTCTCCCAGTGGGGACAAGGGCCCATGGGCTTGGCCATCTTCCACTGCTTTGCCTTGGCACATTAGCAGGGAGCTGGATTGGAAGTGGAGCAGCCAGGAATTGAACTGCTGTCCATTTGGGATGCTGGTGTTGCAGGCAGCGATGCCACAGTACCAGCCCCCAAACCAGTATTCTGACAGTTAAAAGAATATCAATTTCCATTGGAGTTGAAAAAAAAAGTTCAAGGAGAAAGTGACATTTTACTTGGGATTTTAAATATGGTAGGATTTGAAGGACAAAGAACTAAAAAGAACTTTCTAAGCATGAGTGAATATATGTAGTAAAGGAAACATTGATTAGCTTTAAGGAACTTAGTAGTTCTGTGTAACCAGAAAGGAGGATATATAGGAAGGAATTACAAAAGATAAGGAGAAAGAAGTGTATTGAAATCACAGTTAATAATACAAGCTAAAGAGTTCCCACTTACTCTCCAGGTGTGGGATTCCATTGAAGGATTTGGATCAGGAAAATATTAGGATGAGAACTGCTCCTCATTGTGGCTGTGAAGTAGGATGATGCTAAGAGGTATGAGACCACACTGCAGGACATATGCATTGAGCACTTAATGACTATCAAGTCAGATTCAAATTCAAATCTCAGCTGTGTGACTTTAGAGAGGTTACTTAATCTCTCCATATCTATCTCTTCTTACTGTGAAGAGAGAGTATTTGCCTTTTGTCTAAAGCAACCATGAATGTCATTGTTAGGCCAGTGGGATTCCTCACCTATATACCTTCTAGGATGCATGACATACCCTGTGCTTGCTTTCTTTTTTTGAAATGCACACAAACAGAGACAGAAGGAGACTAAGAGATAGAAGGACAAAGAGGTCTTCCACCCACTGGTTCACTCCCCCAAATGCCTGCAATAGTCGGGACTAGGCCAGGACAAAGCTACGAGCTGGGAACTCAATATGGGTCTCCTAGAGGGTGGCAGGGATCCATCTACTTGAGTCATCACCCACAGCCTCCTTTGGTGCACGTGAGCAGGAAGTGAATGGAGAAAGGAGCCAGGTCTTGAACCCAGGCACTCTGAAACAGGGTGCAGGCACCTCAAGCATTGACTTACATACTGCACCAAACAGCTGCCCCTCATGTCCGCTTTCCAACAGAAATACTCCAGGGCATGCTAAATGGCTAACATACAGTTTGAAGAGACTGAACAAGCATCAGAGCCAGAGCTAGATATGCCAGGAGTGTTGGAATTATCAGGCAAGCACTTTTTAAAAATTATGATTAATGTTTTCAGAGGCTTAATGAAAACAGTAGCCAATCTGCACAAACAGAAGGCTACCGTAGCAGAAACATGGACTTTCTGTTAAAAATCTAAAGGACATGCTGGAGATCAAAGACACAATAGCCAAAAGGAAGAATGCTTTTGCTGGGCCTCGGAGTGGCGTGGGCACAACTGAGGAAAGAACCTCCGCGCCTGAGGATATGGAAAGAGAAACTTCCCAAACCGAACAGCAAAGAAAACATGGGCTGAAAGCACAGAATGGAAAATCCAAGAACTCTGACACACAGAGAAGTCGTAATGGAAATACAAGGAGAAGAGAAATGGGAATGACACCTCAGTTCTCAGAAACCCTGCAAGCCTGAAGAAGTGGTGTGAAATATACAAAGTACTGAGAGGAGAGCATTGCAACTGAGAATTCTACACTCTGTGATATTATCCTTGAAAAGTAGAGGGGAAATGAAGGTTTTATCAGACGAACAAAAATTGAGGGAATTTGTTGCCGACAGATCTGTCTTATGAGAAATGTTACAGGAGGTTCTTCAGAGAGAAGGGACATGACAGAGAAACTGATGGCGACATAAAGGAAGAGCATCAGAGGACAAATATGTGACAGTAAAATAAATCTTCCATTTTTCTTATTCTTAAGTTATCTAAGGGGCTGGTGCTGTGGCACAGTGGGTTAATGCCCTGGCCTGAAGCTCCAGCATCCCATATGGGCGCCGGTTCGAGACCCGGCTGCTCTTCTTCCGATCCAGCTCTCTGCTATGGCCTGGAAAAGCAGTAGAAGATGGCCCAAGTCCTTGGGCCCCTGCGCCCGTGTGGGAGACATGGAGGAAGCTCCTGGCTCCTGGCTTCAGATCTGCACAGCTCCGGCCATTGCAGCCAATTGGGGAGTGAACCATCGGATGGAAGACCTCTCTCTCTTTGTCTGTCTCTCCTCTCTCTGTGTAACTCTGACTTTCGAATAAATAAATAAATAAATTTTTTTAAAAAGGTTATCTAAAGGGGCCGGTGCCATGGCTCACTTGGTTAATCCTCCACCTGCGGCGCCAGCATCCCATATGGGTGCCAGGTTCTAGTCCCGGTTGCTCCTCTTCCAGTCCAGCTCTCTGCTGTGGCCCGGGAGGGCAGTGGAGGATGGCCTAAGTGCTTGGGCCCCTGCACCCGTGTGGGAGACCAGGAGGAAGCACCTGGCTCCTGGCTTCGGATCGGCATAGCTCCGACTGTAGCAGCCATTTGGGGGGTAAACCAATGGAAGGAAGACCTTTCTGCTCTCCCTCTCTCTGTCAAAAAAAAGAAAAAAAGAAAAGAAAAGAAAATAAAACAAAAGAAAAGTTATCTAACATAATAGTATGTTCAAAATCATAATAAATAATATATCCATAAATATAAATACATATATATTTGCTTTTGTATATGTGAAATGAATGACAGGAAAGATGGATGGGATGAGAAAGACTTTGGACCATTGTGGTCTGTCGATGTAAGTTTGTCAGTTTTAACAAATGCACCACTGTACAGGGAGGAGATTGGGGGCAGAGGGAGGTATTAGAAACTCTGTACTTTGCAGTTTAAAAAGTTACACTTGTTAAAGATGCATGCAAAGTGAAACCAAGACAAATTCAATTTCCTATCTATCAGCATCAGTTTAAGAACTCTGTTAAGAAACCAATGACTTTCCATAGCTCTAAACAAGTGACAGCACAATTCACTCAAGAGAACAGTCTCCTTGTTCTACAAATCTATGAATATTATTAAAACGCACAGTGTAGGAAAGCTCCATGTCACACTATATTGCATAAAAATAAAAGCTCAGGTATTATTTCTATATACTCTGGAATTTGGTTAGGAATGTCTATACCTGTCAAAATAAATTAACACATTTTGAATAGACAAAATCCTCGGATTTTAATGTTAACTTCCTTGGGGCATATTTGGAGGTCTGAAATCTGGAATTGAAGCAGAGCTCCTTGTCATTCATAAGTTTCAGCTGTAATTTATTTGAGTGGCACTACTCTTTTTCTCTTTTCCCTGAAGCAAAAATAATGCCATGATGCTCAGTTTGGCTGCTCATGCTGATTGACACTGAGTAAATTGTCTCTGAATAAGATGAAAATGTAAATCTTTTTTTGAAGAAAATAGCAATATAAAAGCTCCCGTGTTTCCCTTTTTCTTTTAAAATGCAGCCTGCAGAAGCACCACCCTAAATCACATTTTCCTCCCTGCCTGTCTCAGAAGAATCCATTAGCGGGGGCCCTATGTCAGAATCTTAATCTAGCATAGACTGTGTGAATTGTCCACTGAACAGGAAGCCTCCTTATGTCACCTGTCCTTATGTCATCGCAGCAAAATATTCAGCTTGTGGTGCAATCACAGTTCTGCCACCTTTTTCAACGTTGCATTATGTTCATCAGA